CCTTCTGAACAAGGCTTTTGCTTGCTCTGTCCTCTCCCTCAAGAAGGGTCCCCTCCTTTCAGGGTTATCTTCTCTCTATTTAAAGTGTCAGAAGCGAGCAAGTCCTCCTTGAAAGCATGCCTGACAATGCTCACAAAGCCACAGTGAGAGCTGGGTTAGCTACTGCTTTTCTCCAAATATTAGGAGTGCATCTCGTGTAGCTTATCATGACGTTTGTTGGGTTTTTGTGTCTTCTGCCTTACTTATGTGTCTCCCTTGATACAATGAGAGATCAAGGGTTGTAGGGTGTCTGAACTCTCTTGGTGGTCAAGGAAACTAACTTCATTCCCACATTATAAATCTGAGGAAACGATGTGGAAAATGCTGAGACAAAGGGAGAAAGGAAGTTTAAAATCAAGCTTAGATGTCCCCCTGACAGAAAATGTGTCAATAAGTAGAACCAGCGATATACAGCTCCATGTGAAATGGACTGAATGAAGATGAGAATCATTTCATTTTCCCAGGGCACCAAAAGACAGGTGAATGGGTGAAAGGCGGAGTCTCCAAGTTCAAAGATTGCACCTGGTGATTGTTCTCACTCAGGCTGGATGGCTTTCCTCTCTACTGGCTCAGCTTTAGACAGCCTCGCCCGGGGACTGGCAAAGCTCCAGACTTCTGCTTTGCCAGCTGGAACCCAGCAGGAAGTAAAGACCTGTTTTGTTTTGGTTTTTCTCACTTCCTGACAAGAGGGACCGGAGGGAATTTTTCTGACATGGACAAGATTATGTCATTTGCCTACTAGAGAGCTTACCAAGGCATCCAGGATGGATAAGACGCAGGCACAAGGAACTGGCAATCCTCTGTGGTGCTGTCAGCTTACTCCCAGAGCTGTGGAGGAGGGTCAGTTGTCTTGAACCAATACTGGGAAGAAAGAGAAATAGCAAGGAGGGAAAGCCAGAGTCCTGGTTTCCAAAAGAAAGTTCAGACTCTGTCATCAAAGGTAAACAGGATGGAGCTTAGATCAGGCATAAAAGCCAAATGTTTTAGAGATGAACTCAAAGAATACTTTGGATTCGATAAATTGAGAGATCTAGTGCTGTTTTAGTTATCCATTTTTATTTACATGTATGGGTGTTTGCCTAGATGTATGTATGGGTACCACATGCATGCTTGGTACCCATGCAGATCACTTCTAGAGCACTGGATCCCCTAGAACCAGTATTACAGAGTCAACAGCTATGTGGGTGCTGGGTACCAAACCTCGGTCCTCTGTAAGAGCAGCCAGGGCTCTTAGTTTCTGAGCTATCTCTCCATCCCTGGGCCCAGAGATTTAGTGCAGCATAGAGATCTATCTCTTCATTCTCTCCTCAGTCCGATTCTTTCATTTTACTGGAAGCACTCACTGCAAAAGAAGAGGGCCGGCAGTTGAGACATCTTGATTCCTGGTGGTACGCAGGAAAAGCAGCTCTACCCACTGGACCATCCCTGCAGCTCCATTCATGCTCAGGATGAGCACAGCTCTGGATTTAGGAGATCTATCACGTGGTCCTCAGTAAAATGGAAAGACATAACAAATATGGTACATAGTGAAAGGATAATAAATTTCTGCTTAGTGACGATTCCATTCCCTTCAACGTGGTGCTGGCTGGTGTGACTTTAAAGTCTGGGCGTAGAATTCATCACTCTATTCATACGAAGTTTAATTGGCTGGAGATGATGCTTAACACTTCAAAAAGAAATGTGTTATTTTGGTAGAATGCCATTTTTTTTATTAAAGTTTAAAGACCAGCAAGCCAAAGGTTAAGGATTCACCACGAAGACGGACATCATGTAAAAAGAAAAAGCTCCAGGACCCTGTTTGTAAGCAACTGCTGTTTTCCTACACGGTTTCTGGCACATAGTTGACGACTGCTTTTTGAGACGTTTGTGCTTGCTTTGACATCTGCCGTGAAGCCTTGTGCTTGATTCTCTCCCAGTGTTTGCTAAGGTAGTGTTTCAGGTTGCAGCTGAATCCTTATAGCAGACATCTTCTATTTCCTGACATATCATAAAGAGACAGACGGACTGAACAACATCCTGCTAATACTAAAGGGAAATATTTCAGTTCTTAAAACCTGAAAAAGTGCTCAAATTAGGTTGGCAGAGTCTGTGAGCTTTATCTAGGAAAATAAAACTAAATAAAACACCTGGGACTAAAATGCCTTCTAGAAAACTCCAATTTCCACTGGTTTAATTTTGAAGGGGAGATATATTATGGGGGCGGGGCGCAGAGCATATCTATTTTGTTCAGTTAAATATACCACATTCATTCTACAAAAGAAAGGTCTTAAGTAAAGAAAACAAACAATGAATGGAACTAGAACAAAACATCCTGAGTGAGGTAACCCAGACCCAGAAAGACAAACACAGTATGTACTCACTCATAAGCGGATATTAGACATAAAGCAAAGGATATATATAGTCCACAATCTTAGAGAAGCTAGGTAACAAGGAGAACCCTAAGAGAAACATATATAGATCCTCCTGGGAACTGGAAATAGACAAGATCTCCTAAAAAAACTGGGAGGATGTGGGGGGGGGCAAAGAAGGTAGGGGCAGAAGGGGAGGAGGAGGAGGAAAGAAGGGGAGAAAGGGAGAAGAGAGAAGAACATGAGGGAAAGGGATGGTTGAGATGGAGGAAGGACAGAGATGAAGAGCAAGGAAAGAGATATCGTGACTGAGGGAGCCAGTATATGGCTGTGTGAAACCAGGCACTAGGGAATTCCCAGGAATCCACAAGGATGACCCCAGCTAAGACCCTAAGCAATAGTGGAGAGAGTGCCTGAATTGGCCTTCCCCTGTAATCAGATTGATGACTATTTTAATTGTCATTATAGAAACTCAATCTAGCTACTGATGGAAGCAGATGCAGAGATCCACAGCTAAGCACTGGGCCAAACTTTAGGATACCAGTCGAAAAGAGGGAGGACTGATAATATGAGCAAAGGGTTCAAGACCATGATGGAGAAACCCACAGAAACAGCTGCCCGGGGCCAGTTGGCATTCACTGACACCAGCCTGACAGTGAGGAACCAGCATAGCACCAAACTAGGCCCTCTGAATGACAGTAGTGTGGCTTGGGCAGTCTGTGGGGCCACTGGTGGTGGGACCAGGATTTATCCCTAGTTCTTGAACTGTCCTTTTGGAGTCCATTCTTTTTGGAGCAATACCTTGCTCAACCTAGATATAGGGGGAAGGGCCTTGCTCCTGCCTCAAAGTGATGTGCTAGACTTTGTTGATTCTCCATGGGAAACCTTACCCTCTGTGAGGAATGGATGGGGGGTGGAGGATGGGAGGAGGGTGAGGGGGAGTGGGAGGAGAGGTGGGAGTGGGAACTGGGATAGGTATGTAAAGTAAGAAAAGATTGTTTTAAAAATAAATAACAAATTTAAAAAGAAAACAAACAAACAAACAACAACAAACCCTCAGACACTACACCAATCCATCAGTTTTAAACATTAGGAGAGCTGAAGTTGAGCCCTGAGGTATAGACCAGTCAATAGCAGTTGGGATTGTATGTCCCTGTAACTGGTGGCACCAAACTTTCTACCTGGCAGCTCTGAGCATCAGCCTGCCTCTGGCTGCCCTGCACACACCTCTCTGCAAGATGCCCACCCAGCCCTCAGAGAGCTGGACTCAAAACCCACACATCAACCATCTAAAGCTTGTGTGTTATCTGACCCAGAATTAAACCCGAGTGTGAGGCAAACGAGCTGGTGAGTGGCAGAGGCCAGAGGTGAGCATTTACAATCGCTTTCATCACAGTCGGTGAAAGCAACACACGATTCTCTGGTGGGGAAATCAAATCACTTGGACAAGAAAGCCCTGTAAAATAGCAAAGAAACGGGGCCTGCAGAGATGGTTCCAGTCTTCTGGAGGGCCTTGGTTCAATTCTAGCACCCATAGGGCAGCTTACACCTGTCTGTAGCTCCAGTTCTTGGGCTTCTGACAGCACCACACACACATCTATACAGGCAAAACACCAATGAACATAAAATAAAAATAATCTTAAAATGAAACTATAGACAAAAGAGGGATTTGTGTCGATAATATAAAACGGGGAGGATTAAGATTGTAATCTGGTACTTACATAGTCCACAGGTGCGTGTTTTTGCTCCGTGGGCTTGTGAGGGATGCTACTCCCTCTATGTGTCAGTGCTGACTTTGGGGACTTCACCCTTTCGGCTCTGCCTTCCGAAGCTGCTGCTCCAAGAGACCACCGGGTCATTGTTTCCTGGGTCATTGTTTCCTGAATTCGCATGTGGTGCTCACGGCGCACTGAAGCCTCGGGAGTTCCAGAATTTCACAGGGGAAGTGTCAGAGATTACAACACTCTTTCCTAGGTTAAGCATGAATTAAGCGTTTGTCACATCTTTTTTCCTAACCCCCGTGGAAGGATATGACACAAAATGTGAGTTATTCGTGCTTGTTACACATGAGGAACAAGCCACTCTTGTGCTCAGCCTGAGATGACTGTATCTTAACAGTGCACTTAAGCAGATGTAAAAAAAAAAATTCATTTATTGTAATGAAGCATAGATAAGTATGCAGTGAACAGAGAAGCAACCCCTGCCCCCAAACACACACACACCCTAATTTCTCGAGTCCTAATGACGAAGTTCTTCAAAAGATTGTCTCCACGGATGACATCACTCCTCTGAGAAGTCACTGGGTAACCACTGTCCTCCTAGCCGGTGGTCACTCTGGAGCAGAGGTCACTTCCTTCCTCTTGAAGATTTGGGGAAGGGCATCCAGAGTCCCACAGTGAGTGAAAGGGCAGGGCAGTAGGATGAGGCAGGCAGCACGCGCTCGCGCGTGTCTCCAACCCACTCAGCTCGGGGGCGGGGCGCTCTCCTTCTTCCTAATGCGGAGACCCTGAGCTCTGGGAATTTCCGCAGCTCCGGGGCTCGGGCTTTTCCAGCCACCATGCATAAAAGGGACTCGCGGAGCCCCAGAGCTCAGATCGCGCTTCAGAGCCTCCAGCCACCTCCTGTGCTCCAGACTCCAGCCACACTCCTGCTCAGCGCCATGGCCCCAGCCACACGTCCTCTCCTGAGCGCAGCGCTGCTGTTGTTGCTGCTGTTGGCCACCAGCCACCAGGCTACAGGTGGGACCCGCTGCTGTCATCCCTGGAGGAGCCTCGGGTGGGCGCAGCTTCCCACAGTCCTACTGACCCAGTGTCTTTTCTCACAGGGGCGATTGTGGTCACTGAGCTGCGCTGTCAGTGCCTGAAGACCATACCAAGGATTGATTTCAAGAGCATCCAGAGCTTGAAGGTGACGCCCCCAGGACCCCAATGCACCCAGACTGAAGTCATGTGAGTGTCTACCTGGGCAGACTTTGCCGCTGCCAGAGTTGATCAGATCCTCCTGCTGCCCTAGGCTCACCCCAGTGGTACCTAGTGCCTTATAAGTGTCCCCTTTCTTTATGTAGAGCCACTCTCAAGGATGGTAAAGAAGTTTGTCTCGACCCTGAAGCCCCCTTGGTTCGGAAGATCATCCAAAAGATACTGAACAAGTGAGTCGTGATTTGTGCTTACACTCGACCGGAGTCTTGGTCAGAGTACTGGTGTCTGAGTCCTGAAAATTATATCAAGGAAAAAAATCAAGGTTAACCACAGACCCGAAACTGAATTATTAATTTCATAGTTAACATTCCCTTGGGATTACCAATTTACTCTGATATCAGAAAGATGTGACCTGCTCCTACCATCCACACACTCAAAAGCCCTTCTCTAAAGGATGGTCGCTGTGTGTGTCCCTAAGAATTTAGCCGAGTTGACTAGGGGCATTGTAAACCCTCTTGTCTGTTAAGATACAGTACTTAGCCCTGCCCTCTTCATGTCTTTGGGTTGTAAAGTGTAGCTCCTGGTTTGGGTCAAGGTGTGCCTCTGAGGCTTCTTGATGAAGAACAGATGTTCTGCCGGGAGACCACTGGAAATTCAAATGTAGGGCGCTCCCTCTATCCTGCCTGAGTTAAACGAAGCAATGAGGGTAGCTAGTCGTGTTTACTCTACGGCTGAAGGGAAACTACGTCTTTATGTTTTATCCTTCATATCATCTGGACTGGTTGAGGCTAGTCAAAAATGGAACCCCTGCCCTACTACTGTCATTTCCCAGCGTCCAGAGCGTTTATTGCTGGATGGCTTAGGTCACAGTTCCCAGGCAGGAGGGTAGAGATGACTGCATTTGCAGAATAAAGAAAAGGTCCAAATGAAGGGAAAAGAAGAGTCCCGCAGTCAGTCTTTCACCTGCTAACATCAAGCGTTTTCTCATCACAGAGGCAAGGCTAACTGACCTGGGAAGAACTGGAGTGTGGGCTGCTGTACCTCAAGGAGAAGAGAAACAACGGCACCCAGGAAGCCTGGATTGTTCCTGATGCGTCTTACTGTCTGAAAGTTTAACTATTTATTTATATATGTATTTATTTATTTATTTTTCAATTCTCAGATATCATTATGTTTATTGTGATATTTAAAGATAGAAATGTTTGGCAATTCACTGTGATATTTTAAAAGGCCATTTTAATATGTTAAATCAAAGTTATTTTACTTATGTAGTTGGAAGGTGATGAATTTTGAAATCTGTCCATTCATTACTTTCTGAGGGATGAGTTAAATATTTATCTTGCTATAATAGAGACTGGGGGAAGATAGGGGAGAGCCATAGACAGATGCAGTCAGATGGCTTTTGAGGTAGGATTGAGCATGTACACATCCATTTTCATAGGTACTGAGAAGAATAGAACAGCTGTTGTTTATTGTTCAGTGTTTTTGCACTATGTGGACAGCATTTCTGATGCTGACTTTTCAATCACTGTAATGTGAGTATCCCTTGGACATTTTACGTCTTCTTTGTAAGGCACAGTGCCTCGGTTAGCAATTATTTTGCCATATTTTCTCATGTCTTGAAGTGGAAACATTTATTTATTCATGTGCTTTTACGATAACAAGAAAATAAAATTTTGAATAAAAAAATCCTTGCTTAAGTATTTTTCTACATCTCAATCTTCCATTCCTCCTCCTACCCAAGGTAGAAGGACAGCTACTAGCTGAAGCTTTCCTTGTTTCTCTCAAGGAGGCACATTTGTTTTTATTACTTAAAAAACAATCCAAATTTCCAGTTCTTCCCCTCCTCACACTCCTTCCACAGACCCTCCCACCCCACCACCCTCTAATCCTAAGAGAGGGCAAGGCACCCTGCCCTGTGAAAAGTCCAAGGCCCTCCCTACTACATCTAGGCTGAGCAAGGGATACATCCAAAGAGAATAGGATCTCAAAAAGGCAATACATGCAGTAGAGACAAATCCCAGGGCCACTGTCAGTGGCCCCTCAGTCTGCCCCAACTGTCAACCACATTCAGAAAGACTAGTTTGATCCCATGGTCATTCACTCCCAGTCCAGTTGGAGTTGGTGAGCTCCCATCAGCTCAGGAAAACTGTCTCAGTGGACAAACTCCTCATGGTCTTGACCTCCTTGCTCATACTCTCACTCCTTCCACCCTTCAGCTGGACCTTGGGAGCTCAGTCCAGTGCTCCAATGTGGGTCTCTGCAAGGAGGTGCATTTGATGCCTTTCAAAGTCTACACAGGATATTTTTCCCCCAAAAGAACCAACTTGAGGTTCAACAATAGCACAATAGTTTTTGAAAATGTAACATTTTTTTTTCTTTTTTGGTTTTTCGAGGCAGAGTTTCTCTGTGTAACAGCCCTAGCTGTCCTAGAACTAGCTCTTGTAGACCAGGTTGGCCTCGAATTCACAGAGATCCACCTGCCTCTGCCTCTCGAGTGCTGGGATTAATGCCAAGCACCACCACCACCCGGCTTTTAACAAATATTTTTTAAAGCTCTGTTTCAATTGTTTTCTAAGACTTTATTTATTTATTCATTTTTTTAATAAACATACCTTACTTCCCCTCATAATGAGGTTGAGTCTGAACAGAGACTGAATTGTGGCAGGTCCTTTCTTGGAGCTCAATTTCTGCAAGGAAGATAAAACTTAGAAAAAGTGGGAGGTTGAGTACTTAACAAGTGTAAAAGACCACTCGGAGGGGGAGAGATGGTTCAGTCTCCTGAAATGAAATGCTGTTCTAATGTCGCCAGGTTTAAATGCTCTCTAAGCTAGTCGGTTTGAACTTAAACTTCCCAGATAGACAGGAGCACACTGAGCCATAATAGAAATAAAGACTGCCATAAAAGGTGGGAAAAGCTGAGCCCATGAAAATACCCTCCAGAGCTGAACAGGAAGAAATGGTGTGTGTGGGAACTGGAGAGAGAGACAGAGAGACAGAGACAGAGAGACAGATATAGAGAGACAGAGGCAGACACACACACACACAGACATAGAAAGAGAGAGACATAGAGAGGTGATTCACTGGGACCTGTCTCTAGACCATCAATCCTAGCTTTATACTATGAAGTACAGCATGGGGGAAAGACCTAAAGGACTTGCCTGGTGGTCCGACACTCATTAATACTATCCTTCCTTATGACATTTTCAGACATTCTTACTATTATTTTACCCTCCCCCTCATTCTTCTTCATTTATATCCCTCACCCCTTCCTAACTAGAAAAATCCACATTTTTCCCATTTCTTCTTGTCAGAGGACTTGTATCAGACTAAACTCATCCCCTTTGATAACTCAACGGTATTGGTCTCCTTGTAAGGTAAATTAGATATTTTGGGTTTCAAGACTATTAAGCAACATGCTAATCACAATTTTATTAAGTTTTCACCTAAAGAGTTTGATTTGCTGATGCAGCCTAAAGTATGCTAAATCCGACATAACTGGGGCATTAACGAAGACAGAGCAGAATTGGAACTCATGATTCAGTTTTAGTAATTCAGTGTTAAATACATGGAAAAGAGCATATAGCTTCTGACCAAACACATATTGTTGATTGCTTCTGAATTCCATTGTCCTGATAGCTTCTACAGAGAGGGTGGATTTCAGTAGATCTTGATTTGACTATGGAAGAGGACATAAAAAGTAAGACAATTGCAACACAAAGAGACCTGCTTTGTACCAGCATGAATCTCTGTTAAAGGAAAAAATATCTCCAGGAATAGGGAGATGATTCAGTCAGCAGAGAGTCTGCCACACAAGCCTGAGAACTGGGTTTGGATTTCCTGCCTCCACATAAAAGCTGGGTAGTTCTGCCCTCCACATGCACCCATAGACATGTGTGCACACACCCACACAAAACAAGCATACACAGTACACACACGCACACACACACTTACTTTCTCAGTACAGAATCTTTTAAATTAACTACAAATGCCATGGTTTCCTATAAAATTGCATAGCTCCTTCTCCAGACAAGGTTGCGACTTTATTAGGAGTTTTATTGCAGCCCATACTTCCTTTCCCTCCAAATAAAACAAATTGGAAAGAATCTACTTCCTTATTGGGTGATGTCTAGTATCTTTTTCCTTCCTTTTACTAGAAGGAGGGGCAAGACACTAAATTGCTCTTGAGAATGTGGTGCCTGAATCCATCAGAGCTGCCCACGGAGAGTTTGCAAACATTCTCTGTTGGCTGCCCTGATACACGTCATCCTTTTCTTTAGTCTGTTGCAACACTTATAAAAGACAAATTCTAGGTAGAGAGAGTTCTTGTTTCTTTTGTTTTGAGATATGGCCTCCTTGAAGACCCAGTCTGACCCCAACTCTTGACCCTCGTATCTCAGCCTCCAAAAGGCTGGCATTACAGATTTGAGGTACCATACCCAGAATTGGCTTTTGGCTTTAAGTGAATCAGAAACTGTGAGATGGTAATGGAGGGCATTCAGGCCAACTTGCCAAGCACCCAAATCCTTGTAAGGGTGAAAAACTTTAACTGCCTATTAATTCTGACTGCAAAGATTTGTGCTTTCCTTACTAGACAGACCAATCTAAACTGTTTAGTAAATGGAATTATTATATTCAGCTGAGATCTCTTGTCTAATTATCATAATTATAAAGTTTTGCTGAACTGAAGCACTTTTGTTTTTGTCATGTTTGAAACAGGGTCTCTCTCTCTCTGTAGGCTTGTCTGGAACTTGGTATATAGAGCATGTTGGCCTCGAACTCTCAGAGATTCACCTGCTTCTGCCTGAACCATAGGTTGTTACCTTGGTGATATAAAAAACCCCAGGTATTCCCTGCAACATTCCATAATTGTCCCTCACTAAATGCATACTAATTATTATATTAGGAATAATTAGACTTCTGTGAATTCTCCAGTGTTGGAGTTATTGGTTCAGTACTGGGGCCTGATACTTTGATTTTAAATGGTGTTAGGCAATGTGGGTGTCATTAGCTTCACTCTGAGTTTTGTTACACACGGCTCACACTTGTGAGACTGGGTTGTAGTGTTAGAATATTAGAGCATCTGCTGGGTGTTTTTTTTCTCCCAAGTGTATTGAAAATGTCCTGGTGACACTTGAAAGCTCTTGCTGTAGCTGAAAGGAAACAAAAGACCAGGCAACACCAGGCTAAGATGAGGATGGCTGATAGTGTCTTCTGAACAGGAAGGTTGAAACTCCACCTGAATAGGAATATGAGAGTCTAAGCAAAAGCAAGGAAAGTGTCTGGTAGGGGAACATCAGGAAGGTGTAAACTAGGAATCACAGATTGAATTTGAAGGTGAATGAACATCCAAAATGTATTAGTTAGTTTCTTACTTATATTTATAGAATCCCTGTCAAAAGCAACGAGGAGTTTATTCTGCCTTTCAGTTCAAGATGGTGGTGTCACGGCAGCAGGAGCTTGAGGCAGCTGCTCATGCTTTATCTGCAGTCAGACGTGAGAGAGAGGTTAGTGCCTCTAGTCCACTCACCTTCTCCTTACCCCAACCCCTTTCAATACATTGCTCCCCTGAAATATTGCTCTCCACACTGAGGTGTGTTTCCCTGCTCCCTCAAGCCTCTGCAAAACACTGTCATAGATACAGCAGGAGGTATGTTTCCATGGTGATTCCAATTTCCATCAAGTCGATGATGGAGGTTAACAATTACCTTTAATAAGCACATGCATACAGAAAGTAATCAGGTAATGTGGATAATGTTACAGATTCTTTCTAACTCTTTCATGCATGTGAATAGAGAATAGTTAAAAGACGCAGCATGTTTTTCCAGATTATTTTCTTATCTTATTTATTTATTTATTTATATTTTCCTATTCCTCTACTTCTGTGTATGTTCCTATGTCGGGGCGTGTGCATGCCATGGAGTGCACATGGAACACAGAGGACAGATCTCAGGAGTCCATTCTCTCCTCTCACATGGGTGCCTGGGGTCAAAGTCAGGTCGTCAGACTAGCAGGAAGCTCCTTTACTGCTGGGCCATCTTGTTGCCCCTACTCACACACTTTGTAGTTGTGTAGTATCATG